AATATATCCTTAAAATTTTTGCTGCTGATGTATTTGTTCATAAAAATTAACTAAATAATTCAGCGAATAAATTATTTAGAGATACGAGTACATACGAAAATAAAACAATTGTAGAGATATATAAGTATTTCCGAGATGTATAAAATAAAATTTTATTACAGTTAAAATCTTTTACAATAAGTTATTATATTAATTTATAAATGAAATTTAGTAAGCCTACGGACATAATTTATATAAAATAAAAAATAATTATGCATAAAAAATTATTTACATAAAATAAAAAATAATTGTACGTGGTAGAACCATGCTGCAGCTATATTACTGGTATAGTTGTAGCACGAATGGGTCGGCTCGACCGGGGAGGGACCACGTTCTCAGAGAATACCAGCGTAAAATAGCAGCTTAACGCTGCTGTGTTTCGTATGGTGAGTGTAGAGAACCGGAGACCCCTTTTTACTGGAAACGAGGCATTCCATCTTAGTCCTCACGGGTGACAACGTATCTGCATTTTGATTCGTAATCGAAGATAGATGTAGACGTCTATGGGCCACAGCAACCACTTACCATCAGGTGGACTGTGTGCTCCTTTGTCACCCCTATCATATAAAAAAAATAATTCATTTCAGCTTAGCAAAATTCCATGGTAAAACATAGGCCTCCACCATAGATTGCCCCATAGAGGGGATATTTGTTTCCACGCTTTGCAGGCGGGTTTTTTCGTATTTGGAGCTGTTATCAGGAAGATACAAGAGACGGTAACTGAATCAGGAGATGCTCATCTTCTGATTCAGTTACCGTCTGTTGTTCCTTACGACAATAACGGTATGACATTTGGTAGTGGTTATTCTTACGCCACCACTAATAATATTTTGAATATTTTATGTTATTATATTAATGCATTGAGTTATATATACCACGTACTAGAGAAGCCTTTCTAAACAGAAAATGTACTACTCTATGTCTTCGAGCATGCGCGGGAGATAGTATTTAAGCGCGTTGCACCTGCGCGGTCAGTTTATAAACAAATATATTATTTCATGAATTTTTCTTTTGTAATATTACGATATTATTACCTATTTGTTCACTTGAACAACATGTATGCTCCACACTGCATGTATATTGAAACCACAGACTAAATAGTAGATTGAAACCACACTAAATGACACACTGTACGGATTGCAGTACAGTTCAGTTGAACACAGTGTATGTTCCGAATGCGCAATCTTGTACACAGGGTATTTTTGGATACAGGTATTTTTGTATACAGGGTATTTTTGGAACGCTCCCGAAAACTAAGACAGGCGACAACACCAAGTACACCTTTGATCATGGGTCACAAATAAATTCGATCCTGATGAAAAAAAAATCATCTTTTTACAACGTTTTATTAGCTTTATTCACGCGCCATCATGTTAGTACAGCTAAATGAAACGATAATTTCATAAAATATATCATGAAAATACTGAAACATAAAACCAGCAGTGGAATGACTGAATTTATATCACCTGACTGAAAGGTCAATGTACGCGCGAACGCAAATTCGCGCGGGCCGCAACTAGCGGGCCATACCACAATATCTAATAATTTACAACACTTGTCTAAATACCTAATTTATCTACTTAACCTACTATTTTGCCACTGTGCTTGTCTCCACTTAGCCACTTTAATCAGAATTTACAGGTTAAATAACCCAAATAACTGGTTCGATTCCCCGCTAATGAAAAAATACTTAAATGAAATGTAACCAAGGTTGGAGTCATGAGTTTTTATTCATCGTGTAGGTATGTTTATTATTCTCATGTATTCAGTTATGTACCTATTCAGATTAGTCTAGTACTAAGTTATTTAAAAAAAAAATAGGTATGAAACAGCTTACCGCTCTAAATCCTCCGTGGTCTTATGAGATGCGGCTCAAATTGTGCTCCATTCATTTCAAGGTAGATTTGGGTGCAGGCGGGGCATCATCGTGTGGTCTTCGACACAGTCCGTACGTAGTTTCTCGAAAGCATCCACGATCCTTTGGCGCATTTCTTCAGCACTATCACATTCACGATTAAAAACCCTTTCTTTCACATACCCCACAAAAAGAAGTCTAACGGAGTCAGATCTGGTGAACGAGGTGGCCAAGCGTGTGGTCCTAGTCTGCCGATCCAGCGATCATCAAATAGCTCATTGAGGCGCTCACGGACGAACCTCACGAAATGTGGAGGGGCACCATCATGTTGGAACCATGTGCGGCGATATTCAGCCAACGATAGGTCGTTTAAAATGTCAACCAACTGTTCATTTATAAAGTTTAGGTATCGCTGTCCGTTCAGTCGCTCTGGCAGAAACACTGGTCCCAGTATGCGATCCTTAAATAAACCTGCCCATACGTTAACCGACCATCGGGTTTGGTGCCCGGTTTGTCGAACAGCGTGCGGGTTAACCTCTGAATACACGTGTGTACACGTGTGTTCCGCAGGCCGTTTCTGGTAAATGTCGACTCATCCGTCCAGATAATGTGCTCAATGGAACCAGGCACACGTTGTTGCTGGTATAATAACCAACGGCAGAAAACTCGTCGGCGGTCGTGATCGCCGGGATCTAAAGCTTGCACTTTGTGCAATTTGTATGGGCGCATTCGGTTACGCTTCAACACTTTGTGCACTGCACAGTATGACACACTTGTTCCATCCCGACGTCTTAACAATTTATTTAGCGATATTTCGTGTACCTAGGTTCGGATACCTAACATGTTGCCGTATTCATAATCACTATAAACGTACGCGTTAAGCATTATTAAAACAAAAAACGTAACAACAAGAATAATACCAACAGTATTAACAATTTAATAAAGAAAACGATTGAGCTGTCGCTCGCGCACGCGTGTACAAAATCAACACGGAACTGTTTCAAAAACTACAATTAATAACGAACCCCGACGAATAAACTGAAACCTACTGCGTCACAGCGTGAGGCGACACGAGCCGGCCGGGTTACATTCTGCCGTCATAATAAAGAAGGACGCAACTAACAAAAACGTAAAATGGAAATAAAAAATAAATTTATGAATTTTTCTTTCAGACTCCGTGTCTAAAGTATATTAAAAGGTATCTATATGAAAATTGAAATATGTACGTAGAGACATGAAGATTTTAAGGACGAACATATTTTTTTGATAATTTGTTTATTTATTTAAATAAAAGGAATTTTCCTTTTCATCTTAGATTAAAAAATACACCTGGCAACACAAAAACATCGAAGGAAAGACGCATATAACTATTTGCGTCTTCCCAACCTAATAAATAAAAAAAACTGCCATTCATTTAACATTTTTACATATTTTGGAAAGGTCATTTGAAGTTGAAAGGACGCTAATAGTAATTTACTACTTTTTTCTTAGTAAATATTAGAAAAGCATTGGTAGTCAGACACAAAAAATAACAACCCGCAACTCTTGAGTAATGATTTTAAAGGGGATATCATACAAGACTTACTACGATAATAATTAAAAATTAAAAATTTTGTACAACCGACTTTAATATAAATAATTAAGGATGACTCAAAAACTATTGGTCTGACCTCGATCAAATTTATATGGGACCACATGTGAAACACCAGCTCTTAGTAATAAGATATAAGCTCTTAATAATAAGATTTAGAATAAAAAGACAAGAATAATTGAAATTTAAGTAATTGATGCAAATATTGTTAAAGATGACGTAGCCACTGGTTAAATAAGTCTTTTCTTTTATGTTGAATTTGTATAAGTCTTTTCTAATGAAAAGATGTCATCTGTGATCAACAGTTACGTCTAAAATTCTTACGATAATTTCTAAAATATTGATATTTGTGAATATTAAAAAAATTTAGTAGATCCTTCTTATCATGAGTCATGGTATATTTAACTCATTTATTCAAAAATTGTTAGATGCGCCCTTTTTTCTTACGACCGCAGCATTGTTTCGTACCGAGCTAGATACAGGTCGACAGCGGAGAGAGTGTGGGTACAGTCGCGTTCTAAAGTACTACATGGTATTGGGCTATTGTTTTATAATATTATAGTAATTAATTGTTTAATTGTAGAATCATAATAGGTGTTTTACTATTTACTTAGAACTTTGGAAGAGGTGGGAATTAAAAATGGATAATGTTTACTTGAGCATTATTTGTTATTTCTATCGTAAAATATAAAGTAGTTTGTAACAAAAAAAACTTAAGCTAAGGGTGACACGCCGTCCATTATGACGTCTTGGGTCACATGAAAGTCAGATGTTGATGGTGTGTTGGTGTTACTGGATGCTACTTCATCATCACTTTCATCTTCGCTTGAGCTTCCGTCATCAGGTCGATCACATGGTAATTTTTTCGGTATTCTCCCTCAACACTTTACTGCACAATTTTCCCCATTCACCTTCTCCTATCATATTTACCTTTTCGTTCACTAGTTTAGTCATAAAACAATAGATATAAATAATTTTTGTTTCCTTCCTTTTTAAAACATCGTCGCGAGTCGCAAAGTAAGCTGTGTATGCGACTGTATTTTTGGAGCGAACAAAGCGCGGGAACCAATAGCATGCAGGCACAGTAATACTGGCGGATTGTTCCCCCGTCGCGCCCCTTCGTACCTATATGTGATAAATCGCTCAGTGCCCAAGTTCAAGGCCAGCGTTCTTTTTTCACCGTTCGCGCGTACATTAACCTCCATTAGTCAGGTGATATCAATTCAGTTTCCACTGCTTGTTTTATGTTTCAGTATTTTCATGATTTTTTTTTATGAAATTATCGATTCATTTAGCTGTACTAACATGATGGCGCGTGTATAAAGCTAATAAAATGTTGTAAAAATATGATTTTTTTTTTTCATCAGGATCAAATTTATTTGTGACCCATGATCAAAGGTATACTTGGTGCTGTCGCCTGTCTTAGTTTTCGGGAGCGTTCCAAAAATACCCTGTATATCGATGTATTAATGACAGTAAAAAAGTTATGTTCCTAAAGCAGAGTTCATATTGCAGGTGACCATGGAGGCGAAAGCAAAGCTGAGCGTACTGCAGCGATGTTTGTATATAGAAAGGCAGGTCTTGGTGTAGAAGAAGAAGATAAAATTGGGAGGGAAGTGCAGCAGACAGATCTGGCTCCGACATTAAGCGCCGCTTTAGGACGACCTCCACCAGCGCCATCTCTAGGAAACTTATTGTTTTCAGTATTACCAAAAATGTCTCTGCCTATGACATTGTTGCACCTCAGTAATAACTTAAAACAGGTACAGAAAATATGTACATACTTTTTAACCTTGTCTTTAAAGCATCACTTTAAAGAAAATTCCTCTTCTCACCTCTTTTAAACATTATTAATTTTAAAAAATCTTATTCTATTCGGCTTAGTGCACTGACTTGTGAACTAGGGTTCTGTACCTACGCAATAAATAATAAGAACATAATATAATAATCGTCTTCCACATATTGCAGCAAGCGCATTGTTGAAAATTGTCCCTCTCCTAAAAACTTAGAATGTGTGTTACGTAACTTATATTTGGTTTTAGATAACAAAATACCTAGTTCGCTATGGTGAGGAATCGCAACAAGTACCTTTAGATAAACTGGCTTATCTTATCAATACCACAAGAGACCAAATAGAGAAAGCTGCTAAAATTGAAAGTGATCAAGATCTCAGGAAATATGTTTCCGATGTTAGGTAAGTATTGAGAGTAAAGTATGACTTCTTTGTTTTTTGTATTTTGATAATTATATAATAATTAATTATTTATTTTTTATTTGATATATTATAGAATTTAAACTTATATAATTTTGTAATTTGTACAATAATTTCATTGTTACAGGAACTTAATGGAAAATATTCGAGTTGTCTTCCGAGAAGTTTGGGTTGAGTTCGATTCACTGTCCATGCTCAGAGCCCTGCTTTTGCTCCTGTTAGCCGTTTTCTTTAATTGGTTGATTACTGAGGGAATTCCATTTGAGCGTATTTCTAACATATTTGCTAGTACTTTTGTGCCATGTGGTTTAATATCAATGGCGATCTGCACTTCCGTGTGTTACACAGCATATTATTTCAATTACATAGAGGATCTCGAGCATTCGATCATTTTGAGCACTGGTTTAATATCTGGTGGGATGACGTGTGTGCTAACAATCATGCATTGGGATGGGATTACGCAGAGATGGTACGAAGGCAGGCCATACTTCTACGAAAGATTCTCAAGGGCAGCCTTAGTTGCTTCAGCTGTAGTTCTAGTTTCCAACAGTTATGTCATTGAAGAAGGGGCGACTCTTTCCTTTCTGTCATTCACTGTGATAGGCCTAATGGCTTGGAACATCGGTACTCTCAAAGCATTGGTGTTGTGGATGGGTTGTGGGATTGTTTTAGCCGGTACTAGGCTATACCGTGGTTGCAGGGAAGAGCAAGGTGATTGTTGGACAGCTGGTGAAGGCATGCCAACTGGCCAAGCTTCAAGAGCAGCATTGGTATTAGCTTTGGGGTCTGTATCAGCTATTGTAGCAGTTGCCAGACGTCATACTGGATGGCGGGGATACGGGATTGCTTTAGGGGGACTACTCGTCTGTGCTCATTGGGCTGTTGGGTGGGGCTCACTGGGATCTCCAGCACAATCAAAACTGTTAGCAAAGTTGGCTTGGCTTGTTCTGGTTGTAATATTTATATTAATCTGGAAGAAAGATGGACGAGGCCCAACATTACCATTAATAATACTCGGTTTACTCCTCTATCTTGCTAACGTCCTGGTGCTGGGAGCCAGTTATGCGCCTGCTGCCGCTTTATCCCTCCTCTCGGGTTTTTTGGCGCTTAATGTTGTTTCTTTATTGAAGACTGATGGATCATCTAAATATTGTAAGTATAATAAATGTTTGTAAACTTAATAATAATCCTAATAGACATCGTCATCTTATTTAAAACTGGTTTTATGACTTTCATCATGTCGAATATGACAAAAATTCCAATAATCTAACTAAACACAATTGAAAGGACGCGCATATTTAGATTTTAAATAGAACAAAATTTATCTAAAATACAAAGCGAATGCAGTTTTAAATTAGACGATCTGTACCTAATTCAATTTAACAACTGTCTGTTGAAATGCACACAAATGATAAAGGTTTTTAACTATCTTTTTAGAATTTTTAGGTTTCTAATACACTAGCCTTAATCTATAAACCCTAATCTTATCTCAATGATAATTGACCTACTAAATGGACGGCGGGTCTAGACCAAAATTCACGTAAAATGTGTCCCGAGTCAACCTGTATAAACATACGTACATATATAGAAATATTAAAAAAAAAACCTATAACATCCTAATTCAAACCATATTGTCATCAGAAAACTGCTCAATTTTACTCGCGACAATTTATCATCAGCCCATTTAACTTCGACTAGAGGTCGCACTATTTTCACCTTATGAAGCTTCTAGCTAAAATTACGTTAAATTGATTTTTCAATTAATATTTAAATGAAATATATTATATCTAAGCAAAATATTCCTTTTAAATGATTAAATATTAATAATTCCTCTTTTCTTATTTAACATAAATAGTTTTTGCACATTTTTACAATCCAGTACGGCGTTTTATACGTGTTTTAAGTCGGTCGACAAAACAAAGACTAGCGCGCGATTGAAACTCTGCATTTTGGAACTCTTTCGGCTCGGACACTTAGCGCGGACCCGAGGCCCATTTAATAGTAGATCAATGTTAATAATTTGCTGTCTGACCTCACTAATACCTGCTGCAAACAATTAGCTTGCGGAAATTCTGCTCTTGTGCATAATATTTTCATCCATCAACTTTACGGTGCTAGTTCCTTAAACAGGCAGTGTACATCTGACAAAGCAAGAGATCAACTTTCTTTTATTTCTGGAGCAAGTACTAATGATTTTACTCGTAAGCTACTGCATATCTTCTTCAACAGGTATTAATCACAATTTTCCAATGAAGTGAATGTCTACTGTTTATATTTTGTATAGATTGGGAGGTTTATAATAGACATTACACATTCATTATACATACATGTACAGTAAGACATATAAGCATCTTAAAAAATGTATGCGCTAGTAATGCGCAGTTGTATGAAGCTTTGAAACTGTCACATTTCATTACTAATGTGGAAAGTCACGCTAGTGTATTATAGCTGCAGCACGAATGGGGCGGCTTGATGAAGGAATTACCGCACTTCCACTTAATACCAGCGTACTGAAACAGTATAATGATGCTGTGTTTCATATGTTTTTTAGCAGTAATGAGGAATTCTTTATTAGTCCTCAGGAGTGACAACGTATTTGCGTTTTGATTTTTAATCAAAGATTTATAGGGATGTTTAATTTTTTTTATAGAATAAGGGTGACAAACGAGCAGACAGTCCACCTGATGGTAAGTAGATAATGGGGCCCATAGACATCTACATCTGTTTTCGATTAAGAATCAAAATGCAGATGCGTCGTCACCCCTGAGGACTAAGATTGAATGCCTAGTTCCCAGTAAAAAGGGTCTCCGATTCTCTACACTCACCATATGAAACACAGCAGCATTGAGCTGCTATTTTAGGTTGGTTTTCTGTGAGAGCGTTATCCTTCCCCGGTCGAGCAAACCCATTCTTGGTACGACCATAATATAACTGTAGTGTAGCTCTACCACGTGAAACATGACAGGCCTGTTGGTCTAGTGGTTAGTGACCCTGACTGCTACGCCGGAGGTCGTGGGTTCGATTCCCACCCAGGACAAATGTTTGTGTGATGAACACGATCATTTGTTCTGTGTCTGGGTGTAATTTATCTATAATATGTATGTATTTAGAAATATATAAGTATGTTTATCAGTTGTCTAGTACCCATAACACAAGCTCTGCTTAGCTTGGGACTAGATGGCGTTGTTTGATAGTTGTGGAATATTATTATTATTACTACGTTCTTTTTTTCATACTTTAAAAAAATTAATAAAATGTTAAAATATGTACATAATATAAACTTTCTTGAGAAACTATATGAATAATTCTATTTTCAGCCTTAAATACGCGTTGTAATTCAAGCGTGGCATGTTTATGGGCTCTGCTAGCCTGTTATAATTTCTATGGTACTGGACATCACGCAACATTGAGCCATATACGATGGGCTCCAGTATTTCATGCTGGCGACCCAAACTATGTGTCCTTTGGCCCTGTTATAACGGTCGTTCTTGTATCACTCCATCTATTTGGTAAGATTCTTAACACGTTACACCTTTTTTGCTGCGTATTTAAATGCAGAAAAACGATATTGCATGTTAAACTTATTAGGGCCACTTTAATAGGACGCATATGTCAGTCTTAGCTTCATAGTGAAGTGATATGTTTAAAATTATCACTTAAATTGAATAAACCGATAGTTTTCAAAGATCTGTGAATAGAATGCAGTTATTGTTAAAAAAAAATAACATCAATACTGTAAAAGAATTCATGTCCAATTATTATGTTCTATCGTAATTTTAAGGAAATAAAATAAAACAAGTAGTTAGGTTCATAATTGAACAAAAAAAATTGCATTAATTCAGTTGAACTATCCAAATTATTACTAGTGTTGTTATCGTTATTAATGCTGTCTGCACGCAGAGATATGAATTAATTTTTAACAATAATATCTATTCGTACATCGCGTACAAAATCATGTATTTTATTTGTTTTTTCGATGACTTATCTCCAGTTATCTTTAGTGGCTTCTGGACACGCAACTTGTAGCAGTGTCAGCATTTTTCCAGTGATGAAGGGGAGGCTCAGTATTGTTAAGCGCTGCATGACCTTTTCTTTATGCCTAAATAAGCTCAATAGCGTTGTATTGACAGTGGTAGAGATGCAATCGAATAACTTCGCGTCCTTGCTCTAGGGCCAGTTCACGGATTATATGGTGAGTCAATGGCTTAGGTGTTTTTACTAAGTTTAATAACTCAACTATTAATAAAGTTGGACTTGCTTCCACATCGTTTATTTCCAACCAAGTGATAATTTCTTGCTGTTTATTTGCTTGAGTTTGGTGGTTTGTCAACTTGGACTGAATTATATGGAGCATTGCCCATTATAATTTCCGTTATGGTTTGTAGGTTGACAAACAACTTTTCTATTTTTTAATAACCCCAAAATTTATTTCATCATGGTAATCACTTGTAAGTATATATACGTAAATCCTTCAGAAGCTGAGACCGCGTCAGGCGGGCTATTTTTCTAGATGGAATTTTCGGGGTGAAAGCTGCTGTATCATCGCTCCACGACTAGGAAACCGTACGGTTCATATTCAACCATGTTACATCAATAAACACGGCGTTGTCCCAATCAGTAAATTTTATTTACTTGTCGTAAGAATGTTACTCTCTTAAAAATAATATCGTAGCGTTCCAGCATGATTTTACGCTTGTCACATTTTTTATATCTAAAACTAATACATTTCAAAACCATTGACAATGATTTACCGCCAACCTATTAGCTTTTTCCGTGCAGGATTTTTTTTCTCTCAACACCAATAACTTTCTTGTCTCTTCCTTTTCTTAGGTGTACGTAAAATATTTTCTTCTATCTGCCTGATGGTCCATATTGTTACATTAGATCCCGCCAATTTTAGACCAATTTCTGTACTACCAACATTAAGTAAATAAAATAAAAAAATATTTTAGATCAGGCGTTTTTTTTAATATAAATAAGTTGCTTCATAAAAATCTATTTGGTTTTACAAAGGGTGGCTCGACTACCGAGCCGGAGTCGAACTTATTAAACATATTTTTTGTGCATGGGAGAATTCAGAGGATGCTTTGGGTGTGTTTTGTGACCTTTCCAGGGCCTTCTACTGTGTTCACCATCAGACATTAATCAGGAAGCTACAGTACTATGATGTCAAGAACACAGCACTTACACTTATTGTTTCATATTTAAGTAATAGAATGCAGAAAGTTATTATCAATGGTAAAAGTTCTTCCGGGTCGTCCGTAAAATGGGTGTGCCTCAGGGCTCGATTCTTGGCCCGTTCCTATTTTTAGTGTATATTAATGACTTACCTTACCTTGTATGGGATAATCATGATATACTTACTATTATTTGCTGATAATATTTCCTTGATGTTAAACTTAAACGAAGTGAATAACGCTATATCAAAATTAGTGCATTGGTTTAACGTTAATAATCTGCATTTAAACGGCAATAAAACTAAATTATATAAATTTACAACAACGAATGTTAAAAATCCGAATACCAATATGTTTTTAAATGGGGAAGAACTGAATCCTCTGTTTTTCTTGGCATCACTCTCGACGCGAAGCTTCAGTGGGGCCTCCATTTATCCAAACTAGCAAGCAGACTAAGCTCTACAGCTTATGCTGTAAAAAAGATTAGAGATCTCACTAGTGTCGAGACAGCTAGATTAGTATATTTCAGTTATTTCCATAGCATAATGTCTTATGCGATTTTGCTATGGGGAAATGCGGCTGATTTAGAAACTTTTTTTAGAAGAGGGCCATAAGAGCTATTTACAACCTTAAACCGAGAGAGTCTCTTAGAAAATTTTAAAGAAATATACTAACTTTGGCCTCTCAGTATATTTACGAAAATTTTCTGTATGTTCACAGAAACAAAGATAGTTTTAGTAAAAAAGTGATATACACTCTGTAAACACTAGAAACAAAAACAAGCTAGTGATACCAGTCTCTCGACTCCACAGAGTCAGTAATTCATTCTTGGGACAATGTATACGCTATTACAACAAAGTCCCAGAAAATATACAAGGTATTTCTATTACCAAGTTTAAATATTTAATTAAACAAAAACTATATAAAAAGGGTTATTATAATATAAATGAATACATGGTTGATAATAACCCCTGGGATTGAGGTGGTCGCCTCCAAGCCGTTTCTAAAATAAATTTTGTAAATAGCTTGTAATCATTTATATTGTATATGTAAAATTTATTTAAAAAAGTCTTGCTGGTTCTTCTCAGGACGGAGTATTTTTTTTTCGAACAAAAAATATTCTGTTCTATTCTACTATTTCAGAATTTGGGTTACAGTCTTCTTCCTTATTCTTAGTGCTTCGCCAACACGTTATCCCACTTGCGTCACAGGTAAAAGAGGTCCACCATTATCAGCTTAGAATTCGCGAGATTGACTGTTTAGCATTTTTCCTCGTTTCGACATCGTAACAATAACAATATCACAAATCGTTTAGCAATCGGAGTCCAAATTATAGCCAGGTAACCGTCAAAGTAAGAACAGTTTAATGAGAAAAGCCGGGTCTGAAGAAAATAGCAGAGAGCATACTAAAAAATTATAATTGCGGTTAAAACAATTTCTTTGTGAAAATTATTTTCTTCTTTTTATGGCGGTTTCGATCATTCGCTAATGTAAGCGAGAAAAATATTTTATAGCTTTTCTCTTTGATAGACAATTCTCGTTGTCATTGTATTCAAATAGTCGTCAACTTGAAAAAAATCATTCGATGTTTTAGGAAACATCCTTAGTGAAACGGATATACCGACGTAACCTTGTAGTTACGTTCAATTTATTTACAATGAAAATTATTTATTATTTTTAAAAAGGTTTATTATTATATAATGAATATGTATTTAAGTAGTTCGCGTTAACATAAGAAATCTTTATATTTTTAGTATCTGAAAAAAGTTGTCTAGTTGTGCCGTAATTTTAGGAAAATAAATAAATATTGTGTGGTCGCTGTTACAAGTTTATTTTGATTTAGTGTCAAATGTGACCTGTTAATGTGGCCTTTTCTTTATTCATTGTATTAAATTCAATTTTCATTTTTTGTTATGCTATGTTTTTTCTTCATATACACATACTTGTCAAATATCATAGTACTGTCAAGTATTAATGTATTAAAGGGTTAAAAATTAAAACACGGGCTTAATAATTTTACGCAGATCGCAAAAAAATAACGTAGTATTTTGTCACATCGATACCGAGCGTCGCCCAGGCCCAGCTCCGTCAAGGAAATATAATCATTACTATCATCGAATTTAAAAATCCACTGCTAAATATAGGTTTGAGATTTATTATACCCCCTATCATTTGACGAATTAACAAACAATTGAAGTATCAGATACGAGTCCCGCGACTAAAATACTGGTCCCAAAATACTAACCCTTGGTATTTTGGGTGCGGAATGTTTTAACATTGTTATTACATCATCTGCTAATTCTACAAACGGATTGGGCACTTCCCAATGTTTACTCTTACGACAATCCTTAGATTCTGATATAGATTACAATTACGTCGTCACGTGACAAAATGCTTTAGAAGAATTACAGTTTGCTATTGTTTGCTTTTGATGATGCTTCAAAACAATTTTAAATAAAGAAAGTAGTTAAATGACGAATAATGCATTTCAATTCGGAGGACCAAAGTTTAAAACTATATTTTAATTAATTTTCAATAGGTATGCCATTAATGTTTGGAGCAACAGTACCCTTACTCGCGCTATGGGGGCGAAATGGGGTGTCCACGTTGGGCTCTCGCACGCAACTCGCAGCTGTGTTTTCTTTATGTCTCAAATTCGCGCTCTGCTTCGCAATCAGGGTAAGGCACACAATCAATTTATTTTTTATAAATGTTTATCATTATTATCATATAGGTATATTATCTTCAGTCTCGCACGCAGACTTGTCGACTTCCGGCCTCATGTACAAGCATGTTTCCCTCAAGTCTTTACCTAACATAGACCGTATTGTACTGAAAATTCAAGAATATAATCCGACGCTTCGTCTATCTTATGTTATTGATTATGAAAAATCCTTTGAATCCATCGAAATTTTTGCAGTGCTACAGTCCCTCTAGCGGTGACAAGTTGATTATCGGTGTATCAAAATGCTGAAGTGCTTGTACAGTAGGATAACAATGGTTATCCGAATACACACCCATCTAACTGCAGGGAGGTTTAATAAGACAGGGGGCCGTTATATCCTCGAAAATATTCACCGCTGCATTGGACTCTTTATGGTGAGATAGTCGTAAAAGAAAGCTCAACGTCGCTCGGCGACCTAAAGAGAGGGTTATGCTCGTAGTTTCTCTGCGACTTCGTAAGGAGGATATCCACAGTAGAACAAGGGTAACCGACATAGCCCAATGGTTCAGAAAAATGAAGTGGCAATATAGCTCGAAGAACCTACATACAACATGAAAGAAAGACCGGTAGGCGAGTTTTAGGGGCACCCTAAAACTCGCTATAACCCCCGAAGATGGAATGATGACCTGATAAGAGATACAGGAAGTCGATGGATAGTAGTAACAGGTATAGTTCAGGACCATGCTTTGTGACATTCTTTAATGAAAGCTTATGTTCTGCAGTGGACTTATGATAAGCTGTAATTATGATGATTTTTCATCTCTCCGAAGCTTTGACACTTTTCTACTCTATTACCATATCAAAAATGAAAATCATCTACACCAATGGCGGATACAGAGGTGAACGGGGTTAAATTTATTTTTTGTAATTGTGCACGGGTACAAACTCACCTGTATAATTTTGAGCGTGAGAGAGTTGACCAGTCTGGTGATAATTGAAATAATCGTGGTGTGCGATTGACAAACGTATTTATTGGTATTTGAACATAAGAGTTAATTTTGTAATACTAAATAAACTAAACCAAAGACTACAATATTATTTAGGGAAACTAAACTTTAATGTTGGACACAGTAAACCGAACCAATATCTTGATGTTACAATTTTTTTTTGTGTGACCAGAAAGTATGTAACACAAAAGAGTAAAAGGCTATAATATATATAAGCTATAAACAGTTATTATTCTTTTTTACAAAAATTAACATAACATTTTTCACAGCCATCAAAATAGCGTGTAGAAATAAGTGATAGTTTAAAAATCCTCTTCCCCAGCCCATATAATTCTGTGAGTTTTGTAAGAGTAAGAGACAGAGGAAACAGGAGATGAGCAGCAACATTCTCATAACTTTTAAAAATAATATAGAAGTGCGGTTGGCAACTCTTGTTTTAGATATGAGGGGGCAAATGAGCATGCGATTCACCTGATGGTAAGTGACTACCGCCGCCTATGAATAACTGCAAGATCAGAAAATTTGAGTTGTGTTGCCTTTAAAAAAGGGAGTTTTGTCGCGACGTGTGATGGTTAAATTTAGCGGCTGATATTCCGCCCGAACAATTCCTCTGAGGATTTCCCGAGCTAGATGCGATAAAATATGCCACGGGACGCAACATCTCTACGCAGTGCCATTGAGTCAAGCCGATCGGAAAGAACTCGGTCGTCAACGATTCGAACCACTCTGCGCTGGATGCGGTCAAGTGGAAGGAGCTGGCACTGGAGAGCCCCGGTACAAAGATTAGAACAGAATTCCATGTGAGGCTAAACTTGCACCTTCTAAAGTTGCAAGCGGTGTGTTGGCATTTAATACACTATCCCTTCCGGGTGACCACAGAACTGAACGTCATTCAATATGTCTACGCCGAGGATTCCTATACTAGCTGAGGCTACAATGGGAGTGCCATGAAATTGAGAAGATACAACAAGGAATTCTTTTTAGCGGTAAACGCGCAAACCTGTGTCTTCTGGGGATTGAACTGGATTAGATTTACTCGCCTATCAAACGTGGCAACTATGGCAAATATGGGGCATTCTATGGGGGAGGCCTATGGTCAGCGGTGAAATTTGGATAGGTTGTACTTAATTAATAAATATGTATGATGATGAAGAGTAAGTTTGGTTTTCTGCCAACCTCGCCGTCCTTGATCGTATTCTTTCCTATTGGTGTACAATATATGACGCAATCTATTGAGAAGGCCTATGTTTAACAGTGGAATTTTGATAGTTTGTAATGGTAACCATATTACTTTCAGGTGTTTGTCTGCGCTTTATCGGCAACAATTCACTGCAGACATCTAATGATATGGGGAGTTTTTACGCCTAAACTCTTATTCGAAAGCGGAGCTTGCGTAGCGGCTTTACTTGGCACAATAATGGGTATTATTCTAACAGTCTGGCATTTGCCAACACATCAACGCAAAAGTTGACATAAGTGCGGTGGATAATATCCAAACTAGTTATAGGTTTTTCGGACAGTTAATAATCTTGGTTGGAAAGTCAAATTTAGTTTTTTTTGTAAGCTACATTACTATATAATAGTAACATTTGCATTTTTATAAAATATTGTCATTGTAATCGGAAAAAACTAAACTTGAAAATTGTTTTATTTTTGAATGTTACAGTTAAGTACCTATTTATTAAAATAGATATATTTTTAAAATTCGAACAAATTGTAAGTTATAAAAATATACATAAATATGTTTTAAGCGCTGAATAATTATAATGTAGCTTTTTGTATAGATGTGCAGATCAGCGCTCACGAGCCGTTGTTAAAAAACGCGTAATTTGAACACATGATCATTTTATTATTTCCTTTTAATTTTATTATTCACCATATTTGTGACATCAGACATAAAATTGCCCATAATAGCATTTTTTATTTCATAATTGCAAGATACTCATATTCATTTTTACAGTATTCCTAATATGCGTTTTATGTAGTATTAATGGTTCCAGAACTTGTTAACTTTTATTTATTGACCATTTACTTATTACGTAGGTTACTCAATAGGTTTTGAGATGTACAAAAAGTATTCTAGATACTATTAATATTTATTTTACATCTTTTCGAAATCTTCTCCATCTCCATCATGCTCTATACAAAGTTCCATTCGCCTAAACCAACTCTGAAAACACTTTTGCCAGTCTTGATCTGACAGGTCGGAAATCGCTTCTTCGTAGGCAGCCGCCACGGCTTCTTCGGCACTTGAAAAAAACTTGCCTTTTATTTTTTCTTTGACTCTTAGGAGCAAAAAGAAATCACAAGGAGCTAAGTCAGGGCTGTAGGGTGGGTGACTTAGAGTTTCAACATCAGATTCCTCAATAAATGCTTTTGTTCTAAGGGAGGTATGTGAAGAGGCGTTATCGTGATGCAGCATGATTCCCCGAAGCCCGGTCTTTGGTCTTCTCTCCCGCACAGCTTGAAAAGCTTTGGGTAATGCAACTGTAGTATACCATTCAGAGCTGACTGACCTACAATTTTCCAGCATTAACGTCATTGATAGAATCAGTCTTTACTTTGCGGAAATCCATTATAATGGGGTTGTTATAAACTAATTTGATTAATTCCGCGTGAAGAAAGAAAATGATGTGTTCTGCCCAGTTTTAAGGGGACCTCCCACCCTCCCGCAATCGCGCGCACTATACCCGTCGCCGTTAATCCCAGCACTACCACCCCCAGCACCACCACACTAGGCACGACACACCACTCTCGAAAATACGACACGTGTTTCGCCTCTACACGAGGCATCCTCAGGTGAAGTAGACTGTGGAGGCTGGCCGCTTAGTGAGCGGCGAGCCGAAACTACTGCTATTTATACTACTTGCTGACGCAACGCGCTCCAATTACGTAGCGAGCGATTACGTCATGCGATCAATCACCGCCTGACGTACGCCGATATTTGCTGTGAAATTAACAACAAACTACTGCGAAACGTCCGCCTACCCTACAACCACGCAACCAACCGCTGACCACTGCACCGTGAGGGTGACAAACGACCATGTTGCGAAGCTATATATCATCAAGGAGCAGGCTTAAACATGTTTAAGAGAGGCGATTTGGAAACATTTGTTTGTTCATTCAGCAGTGCAACGTTACCGTTATTATTTTTTAATATCTCTAACTGTTCCAGCACACACAGTCGTAACCCTTTATTACAAGTATGTAAGACTCTAAAGGAGTGGTCATTGGCTAGGCTGTGTCCAGTGTCTACACTGGTGTAGACACTGGACACAGTGGTGTTGGGGTCAACAAATGTCCACTTCGCGAAAAAAAAAACTAGCCACCATTTTCTTGCCGACGTTGCGAGGTTTTTGCAGTTTTGTCGGTAACTGTCCTTCTGAGTAGATCCATCCCGATGATTGTCTTTTATTTTCCGGATCATATTGATAGATCCATGTCTCGTCACCAGTAACGATTTCTGAAACACGCCTAGACGCCCCGTTTTCAAAACGTAGACGCATTTCATGGCACCAATCCACACGAGTCTGTTTTTCGCTTTCGAAGAGCAAACGAGGGATCCATCGACAACAAAGCTTCCTCACTCCAAGATGTTGATGTAGGATGGTATGAATGCTCCCCGAACTAATGTCTACAATCTTTTCGATGTCCGTATATGTGATTCGTGGGTCTTCTCGCACCAACATTTCAGTAGTCCATACATTTTCTGCCGTTACTGCTGTTTGCGGGGCCCAGTTCTTTGGTCATCTTTAAGATTATTTTTACCCTTTTTGAATTCAGCAAACCACCTAAAAATTGTTGCGCGTGGACCTGAGTTCCCTAATGCTGATTGTAACTGTTGTAAATTTAATTGTGCGGTTAAACCAAATTTAAAATCATAATATATCAGAGCGCGCTAATGTTCACGGTTAAGATCCATCGTTTTAAATGAAAAGCGCGGGAAGCGTTGCAGGAAAATTAATAGAACTTTGGGTTTTTTTATATTGAGCAATTTGCTTATGGAGTTCTATTTTTAAATAAAATTTCTTTTTAGAAACATAACACGGGTGCGTTCCATCTTTAAATTTCGAGCATCTCAAAACTTATTGAGTGACCTACGTACCTAATGCATACGAAGAAATGTTGTGTAATGTATAAACAATTTTTTTATTAGTCTGAGTATTAATAAGTGTTTAAAAAAAAGATGAGCACTGCCATTTTTTAATTATTGATCAATAATTATTTAAAAAAATGTTGTTAAAATATATTTATATTTTATTTCCAAAAATTACAGTACTTGTTTTTTTGTACACTGTACATATGAATGTTATTTTTACAACAATACAGACTATGACAAAAACTAAGATAGTTAACTGTGGTTAGTACAGATTTACATAAGTAATTCTATAAATTAAATATGAAAGATTTTTTTAGCTTACTTGGCTTTCAAAAAGTGCTTTTTAAAGACCAATTTAGCAAAAAATATGAAATAACACGGTAGCAGCAACCTAGAGTAGATGATACTTTTTCTTGCTGGAAGCGAGACATTCCATATTAGTCCTCAGGGGACCAATGCATCTGCATTTTGATTCTTAATCGAGGCTATATTATGGAGATGTCAGTGGACCACAGCAACCTATTACCACGAGGTGGTCTGTGTGCTCGTTTGTCACTCTTATCCTATAAAAAAATGATGATCTTATGGGTAAGTGGATGCTGTTTTGTGTGCTCGTTTTTCACCCATATTCTATGAAAAAGCATTATATACGGGCCAGCCGGTTCGATCCAAAAATTTTACCTGTTTATTAAATATTATACGAGTATTTACACTCTGTATAGACTTTGAGGAACGCAAAAAAAACAGAGTATAAAATATAATATCATGGGTAATTGTGACAGTTTTGTTTATAAATTTGGATTTTGCTTATTATTCGTTAATTTAAAATTGAAAACACCGAAAAAAACAAACGCTGACAAGAATTAACCAAAAAATAAGAAAAACTTTTACAGGAAAAAAACATTTTTGTACTTAATATTTTATTAATATTATTCATAAATGTGTAGGAAAGGTTATAATCAGTACTAAGTGTTGCCCTCGCTAGCTGCTTCCAGTCTCCTTGGCATACACATAATCAAGTATCTTGAGAGATTGTGTTCCATCCTCCCTGTAATGCGTTTTTAATATCTCTCAAATTAGCGGGGGCAGGATTTCGTTTCTTAATTTGTCTCCTAAGCTTATGCCATACATGCTCTATGGGGTTTAAGCCGGGCAAGTGCACTTGCCACCCAATAGCATTGAATTCAACGTATTGAAGGTGTTCAGCAACTACGACCGCAGTATGGGGGCGTGCTTTATTATGCATAAAAACAAATCCACCCCTATAAAAGGGCAAATGGCACTACAATTTCTTCCAAAATCTCAGTTACATATCGTGCCGCTGTAAGTGACCCATTCTCAATGATGCAGTACGTACGTTTTTCATACAAATACCTCCCCATTCTATAAATGACCTTCCATCTAGACTTGTCTGTGAATGGAACTTGACTTCAAGCTTCGTCATTCCAATTTTCGTGATTGCGAGCAAAATTAACTCGCTACTCGAGACATGTGGCAAGAAGGGGGCCTCTGGCAGTCTAATATGAATTTATTCCGGCCGATTTCAGTATTTTTCTCACAGTTTTTGCCCTTACTGTAGTCCCTCGACCTTCTTGTAGCTTCTATAGATACATACACCTCTTGGTAACTCTGTGTACAACAGATTTTGATACTCGTTTGTAGATGTGCCCAGTTTCAATTAAAGTACCAGCCCTAGCAATTTGAGTGGCTTTGAGATCTGGCATTCTCAGTTTATTTGTAGTAAGAATTCACACTAAACAAGTCAATGTAAAAATTTAAACTCAAATTCAAAAGTTGGCAACATTTTCGTAGTATGAAAGAACGTGTGGCCGTTCCTACGGCAAGGGGAGATCTCCCGCCGGGCAAGGTGTTCTACCCGGGGAGCGGCCAACGCTCCAATTGGTAGTTCGGAGCTATTCTATATATTATGCTGCTTTAACTTCGGAACTTTGTTAGTGCGATTTAGGCTTCGATGTGTTTCGCTTGTGGCGCGACGACAGCGCCGCCACATCATCCCCCTGCTCAGACCGGAGGTCGATAGTGCAGTCCGATTGCCGGTGCGTCCTTAATGCCGGTGGGGAATACATGCTGTGTGCGTAATGGCAAGAGACGCCGGTGCGAACGATATGCCGGTGTTTAATGCATGCCGTACTACGTACTTGCAAGTGATGCCGGCGTAACGATGAGCCGGAGCAAGTGCCAGGGATTGCCTTGTAGTCTGTGGTGAGTCGAGAAGAAGGCAAGTAATCTGCCAGAGTGTCATGAAGCAGAGGCGAGCAGTAAGGCTCAGAGCCGTGTCGAACACTGTAGCGCAGAGAGTAGCTTGAAGGAACAGGAAGTATTATTATTCCAGTGCTGCGATGAACCTTTGT